AAAGATTGTATTAAACAAAAATAAATAAATAAAATAAAAAACAGCAGCTGTATTTCAGATTTCTTCTCACAACATCCATGTGCAAATTAGAGGCTAAAATATGACAAAAATTAACTGCTGCAAAAAGTTTACATCTTAAGCTTTAATTAAAAATCAATATATTGCTTTTAAGATCTGGTACAGGAAATGAAATATGCTATTTCAGTGTATTAATATTTTCTTACACACTTACAAATGTGTCACCCTAAACCACAACTTAGTCAAACCACTTATTAAACKTAACTGCAGGACAAACAGAAGAAGAAAGGACAGACCTGACAGCTGTGATGGGACAACTTCTTCACAAGGACAGGACACAGACGGGTACCTTCATCATGTGGGCGGAGCGCTCGGGTGTCCAGAGACTCGAAGCAGTCCTCAGAGTTCCCCCCGACTGAAGTCTGTCTTCCATCCTGACACAGATCTTCCTCTGAGGAACGGGACTCTTTGTATCCACCATCTTTCACACACACATTACTGCCATCTTCTAGAGCCTGGTTTTAGAAGACAAGATCAGTATGGGCAAAGAAAAAAAAACAAAACAACAAATATTGTAGAAGGCCAGAAAGTATGTCTTACCTTGGACAAAGCCAAACCTAAAAGCCCCTCAAAGGCCTTAAAATTCAGTTGAGGACCAGAGTAAAACGGGTCTAGTTGAGCCTTACGACCGAGCCAGTACACAGTGACCAGTACCTGTGAGAGCAGAGAAAAACATCTGAACCACAGACAAAACAATTCTCCTCCAATATATTATTAGACAAAACCCTCCTAAGCCTTAAAATCCACTTTTATTCACTGTAAGATAAKCTTAAAATAATGTTAAACTGGAGAAAAACAAACAAGTGCAGAGTTAAAGTGTCTGTATGAAGAARGCATTAAGAGATGAATGAAGCAAATGTTTCTTGGCAAATAAAAAAAGAACTTGCTGAATTGGTGGYAAATCAATGTGAACTTACATTTTTGACTCGCCTCTGACTTTCATCTCGCCTAAAGAGAAGCAGAGTTGTTTAAAAAAGGTGACTTTTTCAGAGGTTTATAGTGACTAAGTACATTTACTTTGTTATTGTACTTAAATAAATTTACCAATTATTTTTTAAATAGCTTTTACTTTTATCGTTACATTTTAAAGTTAAAAATGATACTTTTACTTCTTTACTTTAAATGTAACACCGAGTTACTCGTTACAAAATTAAATATGTTGGAACTCATCATGAAAGATGTTTCTGCACTAGTATTGATAGTATAGTATTGAATTTATTCAAAGTCCTGTCAAGTGGCTCCACTAAGTAAACTGAGCAAAGAATATACATACAGTATATTGCTCAGTTTTGCTCAGTGGAACCAGTTTGGTTCAGTAAATTCCAAATTTTATTTGTTAGAGAGCGTGTAAAAGTACTTTTACTTTTCTAATTTTTGTAAACAGTTTTAGTACTTTTGAGTAGTTTTCTCATTAGTGAAATTAATTTTTACCAAAGTCCTTTTCTGTTCATGTAATTTTACTTTTACTTGGTTATTTTTCTTTCGAGTACTTCATAGACCTGTTTTTTTAGTATATATGTACTGATTGCATTTACAAACTGACTAGCAAGCAGCGAATGAGCGTCCAGTCAAACAGACTGCTTCTCATTTGCAACTTGCTAATAATCAACTACTTATCAGGTTTTACAGAGAATAACTTCGATAAAAAGGAGAAGTTATTCAGGCAAAGCATGAACCCTATCAATGCAAAGCAGCTCCTTCTAAATACCTTTTCCAGTACAGGTGTTATAAAATTCAAATGCTAAAAGTGAACATCACAACTTGTCAGTTCATTGGATCACTTCAAAAAGGTTGAGCACTTAATATGTAAAACCACCAACACAGGAACTTTATGTGTCCTAAACAGATGAGTGAGTCGTCACATTATTTCACCTGAGTGTCACTCGAGTGGACAGGTCCTGAAGGTCGCCGGGATGAAACAGCTGAGACTCATTTAAGCCAAGTTTCCCACAAGCTTTCAGGAAAACGTTCACATTATCCTAAAATGTCAAAAAAAATAAGTCAGAAGTTTTAAAAACTGGCAAAAGAACAGTTGGAATGAGCTCGTATTGAGTGAGACTGCAAAAATGCCAGCAGCAAAAACTGAGCGCCTGAATCTGCATCATCCAAAGCAAATAAAGAGTTGTGTTCAAACGCAGCTCCTTTAGAGCCGGGGACACTTGTCAATAATTACCGATTTATCAGTAATTATAAGTTTGCCAGACACAGCAGATTTGGTCACAGAGAGCCAAGAACCATTAATTAAGAATTGACTAAATTGGCCATTTGAAAAATTATTCTGGTTCTGCTTCGGAGTGTAGAACAAGTACTGAAATCTTGTACTTTACTTCAAAAGTATCAATTAAGCTAAATGTTCTGTAAGCGTATTTAACTAAAGCTATACTTGGCACAAAAAAGGGCAGAGAGGCAGAGTTGTAATGTAACCGAGTACAAATACTTTGTTACTGTACTTAAGGAGAAATTTTGGTTATCTGTGCTTTACTTGAGTAATTATTTTTCAGCCTACATTTTACTTCTACTCCTTACATTTTTACACAGTTATCTGTACTTTCTACTCCTTACATTTTTTTAAAAAGGTAAGAAGTAGAAAGTTGTTTCTCCTACTTCCTTTCAGCTTATTATTGTTAAAAAAAA